CTCCAGCTCAGGGCTGCACGGCAGCACCGCTCCCAGCTTGATCTCTGCGGGGCTGAACTCCAACCGTGGCTCCAGACCCTGTCCTGAGATGTCCAGCACGAGGAGCTGGCTGTTCCCACGAACGTTGATCTTCAGCTCGGTTTTGTAGGACTTCTGAAAAGAGAAAAGTGCCAAGAACTTGTCTATGAAGTCCTAGGTCACAGGACCCCAAATACAAGCCTTGCCCAGAGGTCAGGGGTGTTTATCAGTCCCTTCAGGGGGAATGGAAACTCAGATATTTACTTATGGTAGGGGCTACAGCATCTGTGTCCTTGGCTCTGAGTAACTGGGACAAATCCTGGTGTGCAGTGTAACTGGGTATTTGTGTATGAAATGGATGTAAAATGGATTATCAGATGTTCTCCCCTAGTCGTGGAGGAGCACACGAGAAAGGCCCTCAGTCCTGGCACTGTTGCATCAGGCAAACACCACCTCCATGAGAGAGGCAGATGAGCTCTGGCTGGCTAAAAATAAAGGTCATCTTCTCTGCTCAGTGGTTGGTTCTGGTCAAAGCCTGACACAAGATGGTTGGTTACATCTCTCGAGCAATGAAAAGATCCCTGGGACTGTTCTTGGGCACGGAAGCACTTGTGTCCATCCTGTTACACCCTGTCAGTTTCCAAGTCCCAGTGGCCACACGCAAAGGGCTTTTGGGAATGCTCCATCCTTGAAGTCGACTCCCCCGCTGCATGGAAATGTGCAGGCAGGCTGGGCCAGAGCCCCAGGGACTGCTGGCAGCACACCACTACAGGTGACTGTCCTGCCGTGCCCAGGAAGGTGTCTGGTGGCTGTTTTGTTTGTTGGTGCCAGCAGCAGGATGAGCCAGCCTTGGCCCTTCCAGGTTGATGCCCTGTGACTGTGCCAGCTGCTCTGCACCCAGCGTCAAAGGCTGCAAATACAATCAGGCAAGGGGAAGGACGAGGGGAGTCAGGCAGATCTCCCCCATGGGCAGAGAGGCAGCCACAGCACAGTGGGTTCCTGTGGGGATTTCAAGATGCCTCTCAGAAGGGTGTGCTGCAGGGGAAACTGAGGCCCAGTGAGTGCAGGGCTTCCAGAAAGTTGCCCGTGGAGGAAGAGCTCATCTGCCACTCCCTGCGTCGGGCTCTCCTTACCACCCTGCCCTGACAGAGCTCCTGGGGCGACAGCTGCCAATCTCACCTCTTCCAGGGGGGAAAACTGGATCTGCAGGTCACACCACTCTCTACCATAGAGGGTTCCCTCCTGGGCCTTCCACTGAAAGACACGGGAATCGTCCTTCACAGCCTGGAGTTCCTTCTGATGCGCAGCCGGTTTCAAACTTTTGTTCACCTGAGTACAGAAAGCAGTCGTGTGAGGTCTCCTTGGTCTGTGAGGACAGAGCCTTGGTTCCTGGAGTGCTCTGAGATCCTGTCCGGTGCTGAGAGCACCCACAGCAAACCCGGAGTGGCCCCTACAGTCTAGAACTGGAGGGACAACCTGCAGGCAGGGCAAGCAGATGGGGAGCCACCGTCCTGTCCTCAGAGGAGGAGGAGGAGGAATGGGTGAGGATGGCAGAGAAGCAAAGCATCAGCCAATGGAACAGGTCCAGGCAAAGCAGCCTTGATCTGAACCCTCAAAAGCTTCCTCAAACAGGTTGCAGCAAGCGCTCAGGCAGCCACAGGCACAGAAAAGGCAGGAGGTGCAAAGAAAACCCAACGTTCCGTGTTACATTTCCCTGTGCTTTACCTTCTTGGCAGGTTTGTTGACAGTGAGGAACCATTCACAGGGCGCGTTGAACGGGTTGTAGAGCCGGACTGTTTCACTCCAGCACTGCCCAACCTGGACATCGGGGAACTGGAGTCTGTCCCTGGAGAGGCTGAGCAGCAGCTGAATGACAGTGGCACGGAGGCGGATGTGCAGCGTGGGGCCTTTCTCTACCTGGAGAAGGACAGAGAGTTCAGCTGAGAGTCCAGCTGACACGTGCTGCTGTGCCCAGCCTGCTGCCTGCCCCAAAAGCTGCGGTACCTTGATGAGCAGGAGTGCATCCACCTTTCCCACGGGCACATTGGCACTTGCAAACTTCACTTCAAATGGTTTGCTGGCGCCATAGATCAGGAAATCCACGGGCTCCAGGTATATGCTGAAACCTTGAACAGATGAAAACAAAGCAGCTGAGATACACAAGCAACATGAAATGTGTCATAAGCATGTTAAGGCCATATGAGAGCCCTGCTGGGAGCCTTGGGAAAACCCCCATGCTGTGCTGTTCCTGGGACAGAAACTTAGAGGAGACACCTGAGCAGCCCTCAGACACAGCGAGCCACTCTGTGATGGAAGTGCAGATTTGCCTCCAAGCCTTTTTTGGAAGCCTACTTTGATCCACCAGAGGATCAAACAGGCTGTTTCCTCAATAAAGGCTGAACACAAGAGCTGTGACAGTGTGAACTCCAGACAAAGCACTTTCCAACCACAACAGATCCCATCTGTTTGCAACACACCCGCGGAGTGCCCAAAGAAACTTGATACCGATGGGAACCAAAGGCAGAAGATGCTGGCAGGTGAGGAGGGTAATCAGCCCATCAGGCCCCTGCAGGGAAGCATCAGGGAAGTCACAGGCAGGCCAGGTCCCTGGGCATGTCTGGCCAGGAGAATTCTGGCCCTGAAGCTCCCAGCAGGGGCACCGGGAGGAAGAAGCTCAAAAAACCTCCCCATGTGCAGTGACTTAAGCCAATCTGTCTGAGACAGCTCCTCGCAGCCCACGGGAAGCCTCTCCAGCACTGGTTACCTGTGTCACCCAGGGCACGTTCATCGGCCTGGACGGCCACTGGGTCCCTCCAGGTGTTGGTGATCTTCACAGTGCAGCTTTTACTGTAACCCTGAACAACAGTGCCCATGTCCAGGATGTACTCGGGCAGCTCAACTCTGGAAGGAGGAGTAAGGACAGTCCTTAAACAACAGCGTGGCTACATGTTTAAGCAGCTCCAAAGCTCAACGCGGCGCTGGGGAAGGGAGGACAGTCAGCTGCTCACGAGCTATTGCTGCCACAGCTACTGGGATCAGACCCTTTCTGAAGTGCCCACTGTTCCCAGCTCTGCATGTACAAGGAGCTCTCAGGAGCAGGGGACACTGCTGGGTGTTGCCCTCAGGGCACCTGCAGAGGGGACAGGAGAAGGGACTCACTGGACAAGCTTCTGAGGAACGTGCTTGTCAAAGACAGTGTCCTCTGGGGGGCGGGAGATGAGGGTTGGTTGCAGCCCCAGAGCATTCTCCTTTATCAGCATCCACTCCATCTCCATCCTCAGCCAAGTGTTTGCCTGAGGGAAGGGAAGGCAGTGGCTGGTTAGCAAAGGCCCTTCCCAAGGCCCAGGCTTGTATGTGAAAGAGGATCCCACCCTGCTCTTGTTGAGAGGGGGAATGGGGGTCCTCCTGTCTGGCTGCTCAGTGTCTGTGACACATTCTGCTCTCCTAGCCAGGACCTTCTCTCCAGGGAAATAACTGCAGCATCTGTGCCTTCCCACCCACTGCTAGAAAAGCTGATCTGCCCAGACAGACAAGCCAGCAGCCTTCCAGAGCTTCAGGTATTTGCCTGTCCCCAGCCAGTGCCAAAGCAGCTTGGACAAAAACTGCCTTGAAAAGGGAACCCCGACCCAGCTGGTGCCTCTTGGAGTTGAGCACTGCCAGCACAGTCCCAGGGCACAGTCAGGCTGCTGCTACTAAGGTCTGTAAATCTGCTAGGGCTTGATTTGGGAGCAACAAACTCCCCAGCAAGGGGAGTAGCCAGGAAGCTTGGTACATCTCCAGGAGAGACCATGACCAGAGGTGGGGCAACGCTGAGCTGATGAATGTTTGTGGTCAGGTGTGGGCAGGGAGGTGCCAAGTGCCAGCAGGGCACTGAGAAGCTGTTGTGGGGTGTTGTGGGGTGCCAGGGCCTCAAGTGACATGGGGAGGGTGGCATGTGCCAAATGGGACTGCAGCTGTTCCTACCACAATGTCAGGGCCCTTCACGTGTTGATTCCTGATTCGAGCCTTCCTCCAAACACTTGCTTTCTTGTCCTGCTTGTCTTTTTTCAGCTTTTCTTTTGCCTGTTTCAATAGCCTCTTATATTTTTCACTTCCTGAAGGAAGAAAACATTCACAAATAGAAGCGTGGGTGCAGTGCCAAAGCCATTGAAGCTGAGAAGTCCCACTCCCCCGAATGCTGGTCTCTCCCAGACACAACCCATCGATGGAAAGCCATCTCTGGAAAGTGGACGCTGCTGCTTGTCTCTGAATCCTCATGGTCACTCCCATCCATCTTCCGCCCCACAGAGGAGCATCTCATCCCCTGCAGTGTCATGCAAATCCAACCCTGCCAAAAAGCCCTACCAGTCTCTCTTACAGCTTTCCCAAGCTTTTCTGTCTAGCCATCTTTCCAGGCCTCTGACAGATGTGCTGGCAAGAGCTGCAGGATGGTTCCTGGGACAAAGCCTACATGTGCTTGTCTGCTCAAGACTCAGGAAGCAACCAGAGGGGTGAGTGTTGGTCTGGCAGCCTTGCAACCTCCAGGCTTGGTGGAGATGGGTGTGAGCTGCCCTCTGGGCATTACGGCCGGGAAAAACCCCAGTGGGGACTTTGCTGGGGAGCAGACGGGCAGTGCTCACCTTTGATGCTCCAGGGCAGGTCCAGACAGATCCCGGCAAAGACTGCCTCTCCTTTCAGGGAGATTTCTGCCGGTTTCAGGTGACCCACTTGAACCTGGAAAGTCCTGCAGAAGACTCCTGGCATTCCTGGCAGGTAAGAGAGCTTCAGCACCTGCTCCTTGCCAGGTTCAATGGAAGCCTGCAAGGGACAGGAGAAGAGGGAGGCAATGCATCAAAGAGGGTGTGATGGAGGAACCCATCACAGAACCCCAGAGACCCCCAGGTTTGGGTGTCCTTGGGGGTCTGGGAGCCCCCTGTGGGTTTGGGGGGGTCCCTTGTGGGTTTGGGGGGTTTTAGGGGTCCCCTGTGGTTTTGGGGATGTCCCTTGTGTTTATGGGGGGTTTAGGGTTCCCCTGTGGGTTTTGGGGGGTCCCGGAGCTTAGGGGGTGTTTGTGGGTCCCCTGGGGGTCTGGAGGTCCCCTGTGGGTTTGTGGGGGTCCCTTGTGGTTATGAGGGGGGTTAGGGGTCCCCTGTGGGTTTGCAGGGGGGTCCCTTGTGGGTTTGGGGGGTTTAGGGTTCCCCTGTGGGTTTGGGGGGGGGGTGTCAGACCTTACAGGGGCTTTGGGGG